CTTTAATTGCAGTTTACGAGTCAAAAGACAATGGTGGCCATACACGCCTTACTACTATAGACCGATGTATGTACGTAAAGCTTTGGTACGGGCTACCCCTTGGGGGCCGCAAATGGTGGATCCAAGTGTGCCGTTGTAATGCAGCGACCGCTAAATTTTGGCTCCATAATCCAGCAGAAACTGTTTACCAAAATTAAGTGTAGTAGTTTAGATGAAACAAATCACTTTGCTTATTAGAAAAATAGGACGAAACAGTATTACTCTATACATCACCATTTAAAAACTGTGCCCACTACTCAAGGCTCTTTAAAAGCTCATTTAACAAACCTTTTTGTTTGAATGTTTGTATTGCAATAAAAACAAGAAGTGAAAAATGAAGAAATAACAGTTAAATAATTTCTTCCACTTATTTGTATCAAAAAACTTAGAAATGAAAACATATGATTTTGTTGTTCGTTTGAGCTAGAAATATAATATGTCGAATTTTGTTGTATCTGTCCATAACCGTATGCTATGATTATTGTATAATGTGAAAAGATTTGATTTTAAACTATTATTGTAGTTTTTGTTTTAAGATATACAATGTATAATTTAAGTAAAACAAGAAAAAACACCTTTAAACTAAGCCTGTTGTACAGTTTGATTATACAGCAAAAAAACTAAAGTTTCTAACTACAAAAGCGTTCCTCAACGGTTTCCTGACAAACTTCATTCAAAATCTGCAAAATAATTACATTGTTGAAATAATACTATAGTCCAGAGCATTTTTGAAGATGCTTACAGCTTCACAGTTTCATTCCTTCATTCAGTGGAGACACCCCGTGCGAACAAGTTTGCCTTAGGAAGAACACGAACTAGGTCTTTACCTAAAGACGGCAGATTTTAATGCTTATTAGCCGAACTATAAACATCCAAAGCAAAACTGTTATTTATATTTAGATAACTTGTATCTCTTCTTAAAATCTCAGTATTCCTTCGTTTTAATTATCCACTTTTGAAAACTGATTAAATATGCAGAGAATTGATACCAAGTTTACATTCAGCTTTGGACGTCATAAAGACCAACTAAATAAAGGAGGATGAAAACCATAGTTAAAACAAAAATATTTTATCTGTTCACTCTATAATTTTTAGTTTAATTTTATCCACCCAAAATATAACTGTTAATTTTGATATAACTTCAAACTTTTCAAAATAATTACTTGGTTTAGAATTCATCAATTTTCAGCGCTGAATATAATGAAGAAAACAGAGCAGGTAATTTATTGTTTAATAAATATTAAAAAAATCCCATTAGAATAATTTGAAAATTAATTCAATGTAATTTTACATTAAAAAAACATGTTTTTTAGATTTTTATGTTAATATTTTTTCTCACTTTATATCGACAAACTAATCAAATTCTCTCACATTTTCCTAGCACTGTTTGTCGTCTACAGCAGAGCATTTTCTTACAAATGTCAGTTTGCTCTTATTATGCTTTAAAGCAGCAAACATAACACAATTAAAATTGAAATTTATGAAGATTATTGACTTATATATACTTTGTCGCTTTTGAAGTAGATATCGTTTTTTCTTTCTTTCTCTTTTTAAGGCTACGAAAAAAGTCATCTTCAACAATTTTACGAAAAAGTAAGCAAAAAAAATTCACACTGTGCTATACTTTCATATAGCTGAAGAAGTAATCCTATATTCCGTTTAACTTTCATCCTTTTGCAAAATATTTCATAAGATCTTTCGTCAAGGTCAAACTGTCGTAAAAAAAATAATTTGGAGTTCTGTTTTGACGTCATACTTCTGAAACGTTATCCAAATACCTCTAGAATCTGTTCTCAATTCCGTGTTCGTGATTTTCTTTAACTAAAATTCTGGTATTGCGTTTTTAGTACTGAAAACAATACAAAAATATAGTTTAAAAACTTTTGTTTTTTAAGTGCTCGGCTAAAAAAACTGCTTATAATAAAAAGCAGTAGAACAAAGTTGAAATTATAAACAATTTTTTTCTACGGAAGTTAAACTCGTAGTTTTCAATGGCAGTGGTCATTCTTCAGTTTTACAGTGAATAAAAGCTGAAGAAAATTTTAGTTTAAAAAAATATCTTTTTTTTAGGGGAAAAATATTTTACTTTTTAAAAAAACAAAATAACCAAATTTTGAATTTTCAAAAATAAACCAACATTTTAAACATTTATCTACAACTGTATCGTCTGGATAACTTACTTAAAACACTGATAAATGCACAAAATAACTTCATTTTTATAAACATCAAAAAATTAATTTTTAAAAAAATTTCTCCTTTTTTTTTTTTTAAAACCAGTTTAACATAGGTTCAGTTTTAGTTTTTTTAAGACAGTTTTATAGGAACAGAAAAAAAAAGTCATCAAGTCTGCGAAGACAATTATGCGTCCGATGATGAAAATGGCGCAACTCAACAACACCGTTTATGCAGTTCACCACCATTAAGAATAACTTCTTAAATTCCCACTTAAAACTTTTGTCGTTACCCTGAGGCAAAATTGTGCCTCAGGGTGAAAATGTTTTTTCATACAAAACGAAAATAGCGGAAAAATTTTGTTTTGCAAATACGGCTATTACTAAGGCGATTTGCCGAGATGGCAGATTTGACGCGATTACATATATGTCAATCCGATACCAAGTTTGAAGTTTTTTGTTTTCTTTTCTTTCTTCTAATTATTTTTTCTTTACATATTTCTCAACATATTTGATGGCTATCTAAATTGCTGATATTTTTTTTAGCCTTACATTTTTATTATCCTTATGTTCGTTTAATGGAGTTGTTGAACTGCTT